TTGACATGAACCTGCATGGTTTATAAATTTTAATCTTAAAAAACAAAATTTTTAAAAAACTTAAAAAAAAAAGAAAAATTAATACCAGGAAGGCTGCTGTGACTGTGAAATGAACATTGTGTACATTGTGTATTTCAGACATTATATGTGTATGTATATAATTTAACACCTACTGTAATAGTAGTTTCCGGAAAAGGTATTCATGACCTCTGAGGATAATCCGTAGGGATGGAAACATGTAAGGATGATGAGTTTTCAAGTGATAAAACTTAAATAGTCACACTGGACGGCGTTGTTTTTGTCTTTGTAATTGTTAGTGTGACGGACCAGAATGAAACAAATCAAATTCATACTCAATTGAGTTTCTTAAAATGAGTTTGCGTACCCTTATGTGGCTGCAGACCGACCGAGCGACCGCCGCTTGTCGGCGAAGTTAGTGCTACGCTTGCGNCTTGGAGGTTGGCAGTTGTAAACGTAATATATGTAACGCTTATACGGATGTATTACATACACAATGGCTGATGTGGTGTTTGGAGGCCCGTTGTTATGTTGTATGTTATTATTTAACATTTGATACCTGGAAATAATGTACCATTGGTAACTATTATTGAATTACTTAGTGATTGTATATGGTATTGACTGAATTATTATGGTAACCATAGCCAAAACATGTAGCAAAATGTATCTCCTAGAGCTACTTACACGCATTATTGATTGTTGTGTTGTGACGGTTTTCAGTAAGAAATAGTATATGGTACACAACAGGATGCAATCAACGGTTGGAAAAAAAAAATACTACTGACTTATGCCTCTTACATGGATCCATAGAGAGGAAGATGCCATGTGGCTCCTGCTCACTCAGAAACTCGACATCCTTCATTGCTGGGAACAGCCACCCTTCACTGATGCCACCATTCCAGGACTGCCAACATGAACAGCACAGATAAAGTTCTACAAATTCTACTTGTAAATGTGAGTGCACCATGAAGTGTGTTAACCAACCCATGAGTGTGCTAATCAAGATGATCCCTGACATTGAGTTTGGAACTACAAGAGGCACTAAACTTTAGTGATGCACAAACTTGCTGGTCGCTCTCCTACTGAACTCATACGCTCCTCACCAATAACTGCTCCTAACATTTCATCTGCTGCAATATCAAGTGACAGCAAAGTCTTGCAAAATCTCGGTATTCTTTACCACTTCAACAGAGTGCCATACCCAAACACAGAAGAAGGCTGGCACTGACACATGAGTGTGTGGCCTTCTGCACTTCCCAGCTTCACGCCCCTTGCCTAGTTCTGCTCATACACTTTGCACCCTATCCTCCGCTACACTGGCCCTACAGCACTCACTCAACAATGGATTATCAGTGAATACTGAAAAATGGTTGGGCCTAATTTGAGGAACTATTCTGCCACTCAGCAAAACTAAGAAACACCTCCATCAGGACAGCAGATCTCTGGAATCAGATGTGTCTGAGGCCTGTAGAATACACACATGGCTACTAAATAAAAAATGTTCAGTCTCAGAAGTGTACAGATTATTCTCATGTTACATACCTCCCACACAGGATGTCATTACAGAACATATAGCAAAGGCAAGGAATCTGTTACGTTTTTGTCTCGCTCTGACATGAGTTGCAATGAGTCTCTCCACAGGCACCTCTCCAGAACTGTCAAACAAGTAGTAACAATTATACTACGCTTACACGATCATTAATTATAATCCATCTACAGGTTGGTTATTCAGATGCCTTTTCAAATGATCTTTTCACTAAGTATTTTGAACGCTGCCTGCAGCCCCACTTTCTTCATACCATGCTGTTCGATAAACTCATTGTTTCCTTGGTACTGACAGGATAACTAAACTGTGGCCTGGGAAGGAGCCCCAACCAGCTAGGATTCCTTACCTCATCCTGTAATCTCAGGACGGAAACAGCCCACAAATGCGAATACTCTACATACTGCCAGCTTCAAACTACAGGAACATATATGATGAACATTACACATGCTGCTGCATACCACAACTGTCCACTTACTGCAAAATCTTATGTCGACACGTTTTGAAAACTTAATACTGAAATTACATACGCCACGCATTTATGAAATTTGGTTTAATTAAATCAAACACTTCCTCTCCATTCCTCCTATCTATGGCTGTAAAGCCCTCACGCACATCCATCCCTGCCTCCAGTGGGATTCCAACCGACAATCCCAGTGGAGGAAAACGTTCCATGATTTAGACGCAATTGCTCCACAATCACCCTCACTTATCATCTGCGGATAGTACAATAGGCCAGAAATGGCCGCAGTACAAAGGACTTAGTCACACCGGTCGCACCCTTCCCACACCCACTAGCAACAATAAAAAAATCATAGACGACTTGTACAACATCAGCCTTCTAATCTTCCTCCATTTATAAAAATGGCTACCGCCATGGAATACCAACTACCGAGGAGTACCTACAGATCCGTGCTACAACTGTCCACGGATCAATTTAGATATAGGTAGCAGTGGTAATATGTGCCATCTATACGCAAATCTTACATTTCATGGCATTAATTCCGGCATCGTTGGCTTAGTTGCCTTCAAATTCACTACTATTCCTCGCGATCGCACGGTTTTAGGGAGTTTTTGCACTTTCGCTTGTCCAGTAGGCCACAGAGTTAGATAGTAGTAGATTAGCTAGAGCTAACCTCAATCACTGCGTCATATTAGAATACAGAGTCCCACAAAACAAATTCAAATTTAGTAAATATACAAAGAGAGCCAATCCAATTATGAGCCCACGTAACTATTAAAAATATCCCTCTACTTGTTATTTTACTACAGCAAGGAAGCTATTCTCTTAAATTCTAATGCTTTTTCAGTATCCCTGTAACATTCTGCTGTCTCTCTGTGATTAAAGCTGAAGCTGGAGCTTCTTAACGCAGGCTGCTGTGAGTGAATTTTGCTTGGATCTTCGAAAACATCAGATCTCCTCACAGAGCCAATCAGGTTTACAATGAACTGACAAGACGAGACACAATGAGTTGAGTTCAAGTTTCTGAGAGTCACCGTTGCCAATGAGATGGGCTGGAAGACATGTCTGTATCCCACCATCTCTAGACAAAAGGGTATGGGGCCATGTCAAAAAACAACACAGCGTGTTTGGAAAGGCAACAGATTCAATCACACACAGCCACACTATGAGTAACTGTATAGCAATTTTGTTGTATATTCAAAGACAGCAAGTACATACACATATGAATTTATGCACTGCAATCAGATACATGACTACAGTTAGCCTAACATTTCTTAGCAGTATGGGCAACAATACACTTTAATATAGTCCACATGGTACAGAAATTTGTTACAATAAGACACATGTTTGCATTCAAACACTTATTAGAAATTGTATTCTAGCATTTTGCTATAATGGTTGAATCACTGTGTGGGTGAAGCATGTTGACTATGTGGTGATGTGACCAATGACTGGTGAAGTTGTACTTACTCAAAATAGGAATTAATCTGCAAGGTAGAAGTTTTTACGCAATATTAATAATACAGGTCCATCAACAATGCAACTATTTTATTCTTTCCCTTTCATTTTCCCATTTTCAACATGTTTTGGCCCAAACTAGTCATCATCAGGTGTCTCAATTTGCCAAAACTCTTATGCTGTATTGAATATCGCTCATTAACTTCACATGTGACTGCAATATTCCATGATATTAATATTGTAGTCACAATCTAGCCAACATTAGTTGAATTACAACATGCCATAATTTACTTTCTATTAAAATTGCATTAGAATTTAAATTTTTGTTTCTTTCTTCTTAAAATTTTGTAAAATTCTTTTTACACCTCACAACATCTACTACAAGAGAGGAAAACACCATATGCTGGTGGAGAGAATGACGTACAGACAAGGGGCAAAAAGTAACAACAACAACAACAACAGGCTTACATATAGAAAACAACAGGCCGCTGCTACACTATAAACATCTAGGGAAAGGATTGAAATATATTGTCTGGACAAGTGGACAGCACCCTAGTGAGGTGAAGAAAGAATTTTACAAAATTTTAAGAAAAAAACATACATTTTAAATTTTAATGATTTTTAATTAATTCTAATAAATAGTAAATTACAGCATATGGTAAGTCAATTAGTGTTAGCTAGATTGTGACTACAACATTAATATCACAGAATACTGCAGTTACATGTGAAGTGAATGAGTGATATTCAGTATAGTATAACAGTTTTGGAAAATTAAGATACCTGATGATGGCGGTCTGGGGCCAAAATACGTGGTAAAAGGGAAAGAATAAAATAGTTGCATTATTGATGNTAGGGAAAGGATTGAAATATATTGTCTGGACAAGTGGACAGCACCCTAGTGAGGTGAAGAAAGAATTTTACAAAATTTTAAGAAAAAAACATACATTTTAAATTTTAATGATTTTTAATTAATTCTAATAAATAGTAAATTACAGCATATGGTAAGTCAATTAGTGTTAGCTAGATTGTGACTACAACATTAATATCACAGAATACTGCAGTTACATGTGAAGTGAATGAGTGATATTCAGTATAGTATAACAGTTTTGGTAAATTAAGATACCTGATGATGGCGGGCTGAGGCCCAAATACGTGGTAAAAGGGAAAGAATAAAATAGTTGCATTATTGATGGAACTGTATTATTAATATTCTGTGTAAAAGTTATAGTAATGCAACAGGATGCTTAAATATATTATTGCAAGGCAGAATTTCCGAATCACAAAACTGTCTTTAGTGATATTTTGAATTGCTTACTGTGGGGCTAGGTGGGGTATAAAGTTTTCTTCCAGCATGCTATACTACCTCATGGTAGATTGTAACATCTGCAGCTGGTTCACACTTGTATCTTGTATTGACTGCATGGAATTCTGAATATTTATGAAACACTTCTAAGTTGTTGACTGGAAATGTTCTTAGAGCCAATAAACACTCCATAGGTAGAATTAGTATATCAGGACTCTTTACTGGTTATCTGCTCTTTGCACCTACATACCTTGATTCTAACAGCCTTCTGTTAAAGCAGACTTTCTCAACTGGTGGTTCCCTGGGACCCTAGGGTTGAGCAAGAAACCACAGGGGAAAAATATATATATAGTTTTCACATTCATGCTTATGTGTGTTAATATTAATAAAGACAACCAAAGCTATCTATTTCCTGTATTTGAAGTTACAAGTTATATCAAAAATAATATTTGCTTATTGCCTTTTTTAATCATTAAAGTTTTCTATGGTTTTTTCAGCATTTAAACAACTTACTTGGCCATTTCAATAATCTTCATAATATAAGACCAATTAATATTTAAATTAATTGGAAATAAGTATGCCAAATTGAAAGAAATAGTTCACTGTAGTCATATTCATTCTTTTTTGTTAACTTGTATCAGAGGCTGCAGTGAATGAAGACAGGCATGAATGGGGGACAGGCATTTGGTGGTTAAAAACACTGTCACAGAGGAATATTGGACCTGCTTGTTATAAACATTGTATAAGGTCGAATTTGTAGGTTGGTTTGTGCGAAGTACTCATATATTTTTGCGATTTTCTAGTTTAGTTATCTATTATGCCATTCTATTTCACATTTTATTAACCCTCATGTTTTACACAAATATCTGATGGTCCTATGTGACGATTTTTGAAGAGGAGGCATGTGATAAAAGAGGGGGGCTTAAGTCCCATCCATATAAACAATTCTGCCAGAGATAGTAATGAAATATCATAAACCTCTGACAAATTTCACTGCATAAATGTAACAACACACACATAAATGGTTTGTCTGCATAATGAAAGCTGTTTATCAGTGGGCTTTACGTGGACTGGTGATTCAGTTTGTCTTGTTCCACTGTGCCTCATCAGTGGCAAATGATTTATAAATGCAACAATTGCTCCAGCAGAATTGAATTGGTTGGGTAGGGCTGGAGATAGTACACAACAGGACTTCCTTACTGCCTGAATACAAAGGAAGAAGTTTGCAGGAGAGGGTATGTTAAATTTGTAAACAAATAAGTTGTAGAGAAAGCTCTGCAGAAACACAAGGGTAGAAACTGACATTTCATGGATGAAAAGCTTACAGTGATTGGGCCATATTGAAACAGTGGATGTAATCAGACGGCATGGTAGGGATTTCGAATTATATGTTAAAAGGCAAACTATCCAAAGGACAACTCAAATCAAGATGGCTTACCCATATGAGTGATGTAGGAGAAACTTGTGGGCTCAAGATGGAGAACTGTTACATTTGGAGGTTTCTCATGCATCAGCTCACTGTTTAATGGAAACCAGACTACAGTCTCAGGAGAGCAGACTCAGGTGGCTTACCCAAGTGGCTGATAATATTACAAATAGAGGAACTGTATGGACAGAGGTGCAAGGTTAAGAATTGTGGGTAGGCCAACATAGTTGGAGGCTTTTAATCGATAAACCCACTGTTTAGTGGACTCAATGATAGCAGAAGAGACACGAGGTACTTTAAAGGAAATTAAATGTTTGGAGTGTTTTCAAACCAGTACAATCATGTGTAAAGTAAAGGTAAAGTTGTCCCTCTGCTTAACTGATTAAGCACTGTGTCATGAAAATATATGACTTTGTCACTTAGTGGAAGCAAGTGGTCATCTCCATGCCCCAGCTGCTTTACCCCTGAGAAAGAGCCCCTGGTCCCAACTGGATAGGAGGCTGGGTGGACCCCAGAGTCAGTCTGGGCACTGGAGTAGAGA